TTCCTTTGGGATGTTAACAGGTATGTTTTTTAGAACGTTACAAGTTTATACTAGAAATTATACAAAATTAGAAAATCAATTATAAAACTATGCATATGATTAACCAAAAGTGGAATTAGCATAACGTGTTAAAATATAGCTATCATGATTTTTATACAAATTACGATTGTCGGTAAATTGTTTTATTTCCATTACTAGCAGCCATTCTATCCTAATAAAGTGTTGCCAATAGCCTACTGTAGGCTAGGCCTACTTGTCTACGAACAACATGCTCGATTTATCAAATGCTTAGTCTGATGTATGAGAAACTTGGGGGAAAGTCATTAATAATCTCTGTAAAATTCACTTTTTAAAATGTGTTAAATGAAGGGATTCTAAGTCAGCACCAAAGATTCTCATAGTAGCCTATAGTACAAGTCATAGAAATTCTGTACGAGTTTTGATCTTCCCTTTGTTCCATACGGCCCGCGGCGCTTATCCCCGCGATCATAGGAACGGATAGATAGATGCATAGACATAAATAAATACTTGATTTATGAAGACTATTGGATAGATGCAGGAGTTTTCTTCGCCGCTGGATGTCGCTGCTTGAGCAGGTACGCGTGTGAATATCAGCCGAGGAAACGGTAATAATGGCGGCGACCTGTTCGTGGGATCCGTGTGAAGAAACAGGGCAGGATGCTCTTATTGGTAACTTTTTAATATCCAAAACATGATAGATATACTAAAATATATTTTTGGCGTTATTCGTCCATGCTAATTGATTATTCTTACATTTCATCTTTGTGTTTAACGCACCCACGTGGATTCACGTCATGCTCGCGTGTAAACCATAAACAATGTATATGATTAAAGTCAAATAGTTTGTAGGTTAAAATAGTCTTGAATCGTTGTCGGTTGTTTGCTCTTGGGTCATTTCCCTATTTTAAACCTAATTCTTGTCTTTGTAGTAAAATTTTCTAATGGACACGTGAAGAAAACAGAAGAGCTGGACTTCAAACTCTTTAAACACTCAGATGGTATCAATCCCAGAAAGAAAACCCGACGAATTGTGGTAAAACGGCTTATGTAGATTGAGACGTTTTTGTTTTAGGGTCTTTGTAATGGTTAAGAAAGTAAATGTGTTGAGAAATATTTCATGTTCCCTTGTTAGGTTGCAGAATCAGACAGGCTTCCCTATGTTGGGAGCAATTTTGGGTCTGGATCATTACAGTGTAATAATCTGTGCAGGTGTGGTTATCAAGCTTTATGAATATTGACTAGTTAAACAACATTTCTCTGTCTCTGATTAATGGGATTGTAATTGTTATTAACAGGTATTTTGTGGGAGTACTTGACAAGAGAACTATGACAATGAAAGTTCATAATGCTCAGCTGTTCAATATGCTTCCTGTTATACCAGGTAAATATGGTACATCTGTAATTGTTTTTTCAGGGCTCCTCAGGTCATGGAAGTATCAGAAACTTTGAAAATGGTTGTTTCTCTGGTCTTGAAAAGTCATTGACTATAATAATAATCTATCAAATCAGAGAAAGTCATGGAAACGTATTAGTTATAATGTTTGCAAACTCCTTGTTTTATGACCATGGCTCCTCTGTAATCTTTAATCTCTTTATGTTCAACAGTAATGTCTACAAACTAAATAGTCCACAACAGAGACAGGAGCCATGTGCATTATGACTTGTTTGGTTAGACAGGATGTCAACGAAAGAGGAGTTCATTGTTGAGTCTGTGTTTGTGTCTTTAGGTGAATCCGCAGTAAATGAAAACACAAAGCAAGCTGATACATACAGAGAAAAGGTGAGTAACTGGTAACTGATTTTTTTAATTATATAATTTATGTATGGGTCAATGACCAAGGTAAACAAAAAGGAAAGGTTTAGATTAAAATGCATGTGCCAAGTTCTTAGAAATGTATTCTTTGTGTTCATGCTGGTTTCACACGTTGAAAAACATTTAGACCATTATCAAGGTAAAAAGTACTCTTTGTAAATATGAATGTATTTACAAATATTATTATTATATCTTTGGGGGAGTCACAAGACATTTTACATGAACTAACCTTGCCTTATTGTTTCTGAAATACTAACATCGGCATGAAAGTTATTATTGAAATGAAGTTGTGATTGTATTTCTTCCCTATTGTTATGTGTTTCTAAGTAAAACGGCTTCTTGAAAAAGAAAAAAGGGACTTGATTTTGTGCTTCAGGAATTGGCTGGAATATTGAATCACCGGTACATACATCAACAGAGAATAAATGTTGTTTCAAATCTTTAATGATGTGCACAGATAAATCATTTATAATAAAAAATTACATTTTGTTTTCATGGCCACTTTAAGGTACTTGTTCTTGACACTGAAATTTGATGATCCGCAAAGGTCGTCTCTATGATATTTCCTGTATTATATATTTTTTTTCTGCATGTTGTTTCCACCACATGACTGATTTGACGCACTAAAATTTAAATATTTTAATTATTAAAATTACAAAAAGAAAAAAAAAATAAATAATATGCCAAACTACCTAAAGTTAAAGAATTGTATCTTTTTTAAATTGAAGGTTTTTGCTTCATTATAAGGACAATTGAATCCCCCTCAGAGACTTGTATTTTTTGAGAAATTAAAATCTCTCATAGAACAATCATAGACGAGGGTGATGTATGTGTAAATTGCATTTTTCATGTATATTTAAATCATTGGTGTTTATTCTGTGTCTGATCACAGGTGGATGCTCTCATTGAAGCTTTTGGGACGACTAAACAGAAGCGTGCTCTGAGCTCCAGGAGACTCAACGAAGTGGGCAACGAGACTCTTCAGCAGGCTGTGGCACTGGCTGCTACCAATGTCATAAATCAGAAAGGAGTGGAAGGTAAGTAGCTATATGAGTTTTCAAAATTTCTATGAATAAAATGTACATTAAAAAGTATTGTTGACATTGGCTCTTCGATCCTGTCTCTAAGCTCTGCGTAGTGAAGTGGTTGAAACTGAGGCTCAGACAGATACAGCCCTCTTCCTCCCTTCATGCAACACTGAGGCAGACAAAGCAGAAGATGTGTACCCCTTTGACCAACGTATCCTTTTTTTGTTCTCTATATGCTTCTCCATGTTTTATCACGCTGCTCCACAGCGTTTTTTGTGTCAAGATCCTTAACTGCCTTCTAGTTTTGTCTCCAAATGAGTTTGATTCACTGAAGGATGTTGGAGCAAAGATGGCAGCGCTGACCCCTGAAGACCTGCAGAAGATGAGAGCTGAGAACTGGTATGGAGAACATCATGCATTTGACAAGTGTTTTTTTTTTTGTAATTATAAATACTAATTATAACGTGCAAAAAATTCAAAAGTTTTTGGTTGGTAAGAAATTTTTATTTACATGTATTTGAATATGTATCCTATATTTTAAATGAGTATCTTATGCTTACCAAGGATGCATTTGTTTGCTTGAAAATACAGTAATATTGTGAAATATTATTACAGTTTAATTTAACTGTTGTCTATTTAAATATATTTTAAATTGTAACGTATTCCTGTGATGATAAAAGTACATTTTCATTACTTTAGTCTTCAGTTTCACATGATCCTTCAGTAACCATTCTAATAGGCTGATTTTGTGCCTCAGGAGCAGATTTTATATATGTATATATATATATATATATATA